TGATCTCCCCTAAACTTTCTCGAATATTCTTATATGAAACAACAGGGAATGTCAACTCGGGATATAGACATCACTTTTAATCCATTTTAAATACTTAAACTTTTTAAAATAAAATAAAATCTCGTAGAAAAAAGAATTGCACACCAAGTGAACGTCATACAAAACGTGCAAAATAGTGCGGAATATTATTAGTACTTTATAAATTCACATGCGTTTTTTGAGAAATCGGAAATAGCGAAAATTATTACTTCCGGTCAACGGAAATTACTCAAAATTTTATAGAAGGCAGAGAATCAGATCTTTTACTTACATGTGAAATTTTATTTATCCATCTGAAATAGTACTCAAGTTATAGGCTTTTGAAAAATTCAAAGTAGAAAAAGTTCCATTTCCGTTTATCGGAAATCGCTCAAAAGTTGATACCGATCTACGATTTTGATATAATACTTGTATATGAAATTTCATCAACCTAGCATTAACGGTACTCAAGTTATCGTGTTTACACACACACAGACATACGGACAGAATGGGACAATCCAGTTTTTTCCGACTCCATTACGCATAAAACGCCAAAATTTTGATATATCTGGATTTATAATTTTTGCCCAATTAAAATAAGTCCTCTACATCCCAGATGTGATGAAGGACTGAGAAGTAAAACGGTGAAAACTGTCCAAATTTAATGTGATTTTTGTGCACGATAACAAGACTTTCTCTCTACTTCGTATATACGAGAAAGTAAAAAAGAGTTGTTCCCCTACATTTTGATATACTTATCAAGAATGCTCTTTCATCAAGACATCTTTTGGTGGTTTTAAAAAAATCTACAGAATTTGTGGGTGTTTTTTTAAAACCCTTTTTAATTTGATAAAAAAAGTAACAAAAGCTAATTTCAATGCAATTAATTTAGATGATCTCGTAGAAAAAAGTATTGCTTGATAAATTATCTCATTCTTATGTTGTTTTTTTTTTCTCTTTTTATTTCGGTCATCGAAAATTAATTGACATTACCAAAGAATAAGATCTTATACTTATGTTGGAATTTTCGTCTACCTAACCAAAACAGTAATTAAATTATGGGTATTTGAGTATTTGGAAACCAGAAATATAGTACACTACCATTGCCGGTGATCGGAAGTCACTCAAAATTGAAAGTAATCCAAGTATAAGATCTTATACGCATATATAAAACGAGAAAAATGGCCCGTTGAGGAAGGATACAACGGGCGCTAGGTTGACAATAAAATAGCAGGATGCCATTGTTTATGTCGCCATTACACGTGAAAACCAAATTGTTTTTGCTTTTTTTTTAAATTTTTATTTAGTTACCGAAAATATTAAAAACATCAAATACATCCAATCTTTAGTAAAGTCCGAAAAAACCAGACACAGGATTTTATAACCATATTAATTGTAACTACGCCGTGCATGATTTTTAAATTAATTAATGGGCCTCTCGAATACTTTCTCGCTCGCGTCCATTTCGATTTTTGCACGATTAGAATACAATTACAATCTTTATATTCCCGTATACAATAAAGTAGGGAGGTGTAAAACTCGTAAACGGTCAAAATATTTAATTTTTCTGTACAATTATAATTATAATTCAAGTATTGACTATACATTTTTCGTCTTGGGTCCTGCCATAATAATAATTTCATCTTTAAAAAAAAAACCGTGAAAATGTCTCTCGCATGAACTGACATATTTGCAATCTAGAAAAGGTAGAAATTAGAAATTCTCCACTCTACCTGTTTGTTATTTGGTATTCTATAGAATGACTAGAAAATATATATGATAGAAATATGATGTATTTCAAACTTTGACGACCCATTTCAGGCAATAAATAAATTGCCTAAGTAGCAAGTGCGGGGCGGAGAATGCATGTGTCCGGTCATAAACGCCATGGACAACCCCCCCCCCCCCCCCGCGATATAAGTCCCCTGGACACCCCCCCCCCCCAATTGAGGTTTATATTAGGAAAAAACAAAGATGATGAGAACCAAAATTAATAACTAAGTACAAAACAAACATTAGAAAAACAAGTTAATAAAAAGTCTAGTGACAATTTAAGCGCAATTTCCTTAATTAATTTTTTTTTAGAATTCACAGACCTACGTAAAAATCCTTTCGAACCTCTGCACATTCGCTATGGTAAAATCCTTTCGAACCTCAGCGCTTTGCGCTAAAAACCAACACGATGCTCAGTTTAAATTTTAAAAAATCCTTTCGAACCTCCGCTTATTCGCTATGGTAAAATCCTTTCGAATCCTCAGCTTTGCACTAAAAACCTACACGATGCTCAGTTTAAATGTTCTTAATTAATTTTTTTGTGACCGAACGAAAGGATATTTTTGAAAACTTTCTTCGGCAATATTGGTCTAAATTATGGCAGGAATCGATTGGTAAATGTTCCAAGTCGCTAAGTGGTCTGGTTGCCGAGATATGGAGCAAAAACTGCATTTGTTCGAGGTTTTTTTGGCTTTTCTTGGAAATTCAGGAAGGAATTCCGGGAATTTTTTTGGCCCACAATCATCCTTGGAACTTATTTGCTTTTGGAACTAGTCCTCGATATTGCTTCGTTGAGGAGGAGATACGACTTAAAGCTGCGGACATCCATCCATCCATCCATCCACCCACCCACCCACCCACCCATTCATAAACCAGTGCTGATTAACCTCCAATAACCTAAGGTTGTCATTGGTTCCAAACAAAAACATCCTACCTTTTGACTCGGTACCGGAATCGAACAAAAGAAACTGTTGTCTATCTTGTGTCATTTTATATTGATCAGGAATGATTATATCATCAACATTCCTTGGATCAGACAGTGGGTGTTTTGACGTTGACGCCTGATGTTACGTATGTGTGGAATCGAGGGCAGCTTGGCCTTGGCATCTTCAGTAATCGTAGTAATGGACTGAGTGATGATCTGCTGAGGTGTTGCTTCCGTTCCTTCTGCCAGTTGTTTCATCTGCTGCACTACTTTTTACACACTTCTAGTTGAGATGGATCTGGTCCATGCGAATGTTCATTACAACGCCCGACAAGCTGTTCACCATGAATTTTTATCCTAGCCTTCAAAAATCATCTTTGAATTGCCTTTATTAGATTTTTAAAATTATTATTATTTTTATCATTTCCTAAAACAGCTTTGGCAATTGGTAAGAGTGGGGTTTGAATACATTGGTTGATATGATTTCCTAGTGAGTAACTAATACCAAACGTCTAAACTTAAACTGAAGTAACAATTGATGAACGTTCATTGAGGGGTCTTCGGGTGGTGGTTCAATACGTACATCTGGATGTCTTTTTCTAGTGGGAGGTTTACGTTGCAAATGCGGCATTCGTAAGTAGTTACGTCTTGGTGTTCTTGCCTGTAGTGCATAGTTATGTCGGTGTGAATTATTTTATCGTCACAGATGCTGCGCTGTTTGAGATTTGTGTGTGCTATGTTCTCATGAGTTTCCGCTTCCTTGGATGTTTTGTACTTCTTGCTGCAATATTTGCATTTCCTGATGATGTGAACTGCTTTTGTTGTCTTTGAAGTTTTTGTTGTTTTCCCTGATTCTGTGGGGCTGTGTTCATTTTTTTTTTCTTTTTGGTGTGGTTGTGTCCATTTCTATTTCTGGGTTAAGGCTTGTTGTTGCAAAGTTTTGATGTGTTGTTGTTGCTGATTTTTCCGACTGGTAGTTCCGCTGTTATCGTAGTTGAAGTTGTTTGTTTGTCTGTCTGATTAAGAGGCCCTTTAAATTGCCTTTATTAGATTGAACGAACTCCATTCCAGAAATTATACGATTTGTGGAGAAATAAATTTGATGTCGTATTTATACCATGGTTCTGTGTGCCAAGCTCCCGCCGGTGAATCTCTCAAATCTTTTGTATTGTTAAAACTGTGTTGCTTTGATCCGCACGGCTCCAACAGGGGGATGACCTATATCTAAGGTGTTGTCGGTGCCCGATCTTTGATCAAATACAACCAAGGTCACTACTTGACTTTCAAATAGTATGCTTTTATGTTAGTCTTTTGTTAGTCGATAAAAAAATTACATTAATTTAATTAAATTTAGTTTTTCTTGGTTCTCATCATCGTTGTTATTTCCTTATATAAACCTCAGTCGGGGGGTTATTATACAGGGGGTTTATATCACGGGGGGTTTATGTCGGGGGCTTATGTCCAGGGGTTTATGTCCAGGGGGTTTTTGACCGGGAGACGAGAATGCGGACCGCACCGGCTGACACCATTTAGAGGGGTGACGACAAGGCAAAAAAATTGCAATATGTACAGAAGAAAAATGCTTTTTGCCAGTTCCATTAATGATTAATTGAAGTTAAATAGTCTACTACGTACAAATCGACAATTATTACAAACTGGAGGGGTGACACCATGACATAATTAATTATAGAGTTAAAATGTTACATCCAACAATATTATTAACAGACTATAGATAAACATATTTAGTATTAAGTCTGTAGTGATTAAAGTTCGTAGATTTACAACAAACTCACAAAAAAACAATACAAAAGTAGGACATTCCCAATCCCATCATTTACACCCCAGACCAAAATTGATCCCAGAAGAAATTACGCCCTGTGAATTACTCCAAGCTCAAGAACCCTGTATACACCAATTCTATACATATGTCTTACGTTATTGCTAAACTTGAGAAATAGCCTAAAATTAATAATTCACCTCAGCCTAAACCTAACCCTAACCAAACAATAACCCCAATCCTAGGCATTAGTTTAAGCTTAACCCTGACCCTAAATCTAACCTTAACCCTAACCCTTACCTTTACCCTTATGTATGTGTATATATATATATATATATATATATATATATATACACACTTTTTTCTTGGGTGTGTGTGTGTGGGGGGGGGGGGGGGGGGGGGGCGGGGCGGGACCATCTTGACTACGCCAAAGGTGAAAATAATACACTTTCTTTCCCCAAAATATATTGCAGTTTTCAGTGGAGATATTTTGGTGAGATTGCTTACTTTTCTTTGAATGGTAATGGCAGCATGGACTTGCTTAGTTATATATTGTCTTTCTTTTAGCCTCGATCTTTCCCTATGACCTCTCCAAACTGTCTGAATATTAGTAGCAGCAACAGCTTTCTCATTATTCAAGAATCTTTCAACTTCAGCTTTGGAAAAAAGAATGACAGAAATAGGCCACATAAAATACTTTACTATAACTATAACATAAAAAAATTATAAGCATGTAAAATAAGGGTAGTGCACTTCTCATGTTAAATGAGTGTTAAAGAAATTTGATTAACATTTTAAAAATGTGTTCGCTTTGCATCAACCTAATTTAAAAAAAATAATAACTTTAAACCAGGAAGAACAAAGTAAATATATAACCGATATTTTGTCAAATCAATTCTAAACAATGTATTCTCTTATCTTTTATTTATTTCTAGCAGTCCCGGCCCGACTCTGCACTGGCTTTTGTGAAAAACTTACCTGTAAAGGACCGTGACTGTTATGCCCGATTTTTGGGAATATATTAAATTTTCAATATAAACCCTCTCCACTTCCACACACTTCCGCAGCTAAGAAACAACAATAAACCCTAAGCCTCACCCCAATTTCCAATACAAACCCTAAACCTCACCACCAAACATAAAATAAGCATACATACAAATATAAACCAACCCTTATCTCAACCTCTAACAGAGTCTAACATAACCCATCTCTCTCCGTACACATGCCGAAGCGTTTGGAGGACGTGCCCGAATCGATTTAGTGAACGATTACAGTAGCCCGACGTATCCTCTTCCTTGTACGATAAACGTCTTTCCCAACAACGATACAACAAAAAACGTCACATTCTTACCTTCCATGTCATAAAAAACATTCGCTAAAATTGTGCTTATAAAAGTTGTCTTTAATAATGCACACAACTGATTTTTTCTCTGCTTAAACTTAAAAACATAGACTTAGATAATCGACTTTAAATTTAGAAAATTATAGTTTTAATGGACGCCAGCGAGAAAAGTCTCAAAAGTATTTGAGAGGTCCATAAATTAATTTAAAATCATGCACGGCGTAGTTACAATTAATATGGTTATAAAACCTGACTGGTTTTTTTCGGACTTTACTAAAGATTGGATGTATTTGATGTTTTTAATATTTTCGGTAACTAAATTAAAAAAAAAAGCAAAAACAATTTGGTTTTCACGTGTAATGGCGACATAAATAATGGCATCCTGCTATTCGATAGGCCGCCATAAATTTTATTGTACACATTGTAAGCTAAAATAAACCGGGAGTGATCTCCCCTAAACTTTCTCGAATATTCTTATGTAAAACAACAGGGGATGGGAACTCCATTTTAAATACTTAAAGTTTTAAAAATAGAATAAAATCTCGTAGAAAAAAGAATTGCACACCAAGTGAACGCCAATGAAATGTGCATAATAGTGCGCAATATTATTAGTACTTTATAAATTTACATGCCTTTTTTGAGAAATCGGAAATAGCGTAAATTAGAACTTCCGGTCAACGGAAGTTACTCAAAATTTGAGAGAAGGTAGAGAATTAGATCTTTTACTTACATGTGAAATTTCATCTATCTATCTTAAATAGTACTCAAGTTATCCGCTTTTGAAAAACTCAAAGTAGAAAAAATACCACTTCCGGTTATCGGAAATCGCTCAAAAGTTGATACGGATCTACGATTTTGATAAAATACTTATATATGAAATTTCATACCTAGCTGTAACGGTACACAAGTTATCATGTTTACACACACAGACACACACAGACATACGGACAAGATTGCAAAGTTATGTTTTTCCGTATCAGTGAGGTGTAAAACGTCGAGATTTGTAAAAATCTCGATTTTTTTTTGCACGATTACAAGGCTTTCTCTATACTTCGTATGTACGAGAAACTAAAAAAGAGAAACTAGGTCATGGGTGTTATGATATATGTTTGACTAGATAAATTGGTGCGCATGAATGCTGGTGCGAAGCGATAATATTGAACGAGTGAAAGGGTGACGCAGTACGCAAGAAAGTGACGTTTGAGTGTGAGCTCGTTGTTGCCGGGGAAGAAGCTTAGATTAGTCTTGTTCGTGTTATGTTAGGGTTAGATTGTCCAGTCTTAGTATCGTTTGTTCAAGCTGTCCGATGTCTATTTCTATAGTGCAATAAATGGAATTAGTAAACAATGTCATTTTGTCAAATCATTTGTAAGCCTTGATGTCGTCGTGTCTCAAGATGCACTGTTGTATGGCTAGACATAATGAAATGGTAGTGGTACTGAAATATAATATTGAATCAGGTAGTTGTACCCTCTCACTGCATAGCTGTGGTACACATATAGAACCCAGTGACAACAATGGGGTTTAAATTTGCATTGTTATTTAAAAACTTGATCTGCAAAGTTTTGTAAACAAAACAACTATAAAGTGGGGCTGTCAGAAATCGATTACGGAGTTCCTGTACAGCCAATCAATGTTTGTCTTACGAAAGTGAAACATCGGGTTATAACTTAGGCTTGATGAAAATAAATAGAAATATAATTTTAAACTCAAAAAATTATTTTCAAGTTCTCTGGATCTGCAACTTGTATAGCATTGATTATAAAAATATTAAATTTCTGAATTATGTTTAGGCTTAAGTTTTTAATAAAACTTTATCTTTTATTATTTTTACTGTCCTAAATCTAAAAAAAGCACATTTTTATTCCATGTCTACAACATTACGGAATGATTTTCGTCAACTCACTAGTGTCCATTATCGTATTTATAAAAGTCTTTGTCCCGCTTTTTTGTTCTAGGAGGATGAATTCTAAAATAGTAAATGTTAACAATCTTTCAGAAAGTTTCACGGATTCCACCGATGCTGAACACTCAGCACAAAAGAAAAATATATTGTGGGAAATGAGGTCGCCAAATACAAATAGTTTAGCCAGAAGGTTCACGCAAATACCTCAAGTGTTATAATAACCAGTGTAGCAAAAACCAACCTGATTCGTTCAGGGGTATGGGTTCCCATTTTGGGCAAAACCAACCGCAGACATTTTGTTCCATATGTTTATATATATATATATATATATATATATACTAGGCATACTGCCTAGCTTCGCTTAGGTTTTCAAAAAAAAAAAATGATAAATTGAATGATTGATTAATAGGTGATTGGCTGTTATGTTAAATGCTTAGGGCCTAAATTTATACAGTGGGGTACTTTTTTGTGCCTATAAATTGATGGAATATTCGCAAACTTATTACTCGCAAGGTTATTAGACAGAAAGGGCTTTCATAAAAATTATTAATCAAATATAATATTAAATTACTTTTGCAATTAATTTTTCGATTTCATTACAATACAAAACTTAATTTATAACTAACAAAATATCCATTTAAAACAATGCTATGCATTATGATTTTTGTTTATTCTTAAAAAAAGTATACAAAACATTAAAAAATTGTTACATTAAAAAGTTACCGCCCCTGTTCATAGACCAAATAACCGAATCTCGTATAATGAGAATTTCAATCGCAGTCATTTTTAGCCCTCTTTGAGAGCTTTGATGCTGACCAACAGTTTTTTCCATACGGCCCAGTCATCTATAGAGGTGTATGCAAAGAATTAGCCAGTTATACAAAGAGTAAGTACCCTAAAATTTGTGTAGAAATTACCCTGTTTTCCCCATAAAATACAAAGATTATATAGAGAAATACGACTGGTCAGTTTTGACCCATTTACGAAGTTTTCCCGGACATAGCAAGTTTTTTGTGACACCCCAAGGCGTTCTCCTACCACCTCACAAAATATCAAGGGGGGTCGTCGGAGGAATATTTTTTTCGATATATAGAGAATTTCACTCGCGGTCAATTTTTAGCCCTCGTCGAGGGCTTTGAGTCAAACCGACAATTTTCCCTAAAGGTCAAGCCATTGACCTAAGAGTATGCAAAAAATTAGCCAGATATACTGAGTTTAAGTACCCTAAAGTCTGCGTTGAAATGACCCTCTGTTTTTCCCATAAAATACAAAGATTATATAGGGAAATACAACTGGTCAGTTTTGACCCCTTTACGAAGTTTTCCCAGATATGCCGAGTTTTTTGTGACACCCAAGGCGTTCTCCTACCACCTCACAAAATATCAAGGGGGGTCGTCGGAGGAAATTTTTTTTCGTAATAGAGCTCATATAAAGAGAATTTCACTCGCGGTCACTTTTTAGCCCTCGTCGAGGGCTTTGAGTCAAACCGACAAATTTCCCTAAAGGTCAAGCCATTGACCTAAGAGTATGCAAAAAATTAGCCAGACATACTGAGTTTAAGTACCCTAAAGTATGCGTTGAAATGACCCTCTGTTTTTCCCATAAAATACAAAGATTATATAGGGAAATACAACTGGTCAGTTTTTGACCCCATTACGAAGTTTTCCCAGATATACCGAGTTTTTTGTGACACCCCAAGGCGTTCTCCTACCACCTCACAAAATATCAAGGGGGTCGTCGGAGGAATTTTTTTTTCGTAATATAGCCCATATAAGACGCCGGTCAATCGAGGTCAGTTTTGACCCCCTGTCCGTAGACTTTTAGCCAAACCGTCACCGGCCCCCGTGTTCTGTCGCCCCAAGGCAAGATCCTGCCGAATTTGAAGCGCCTGCGGCGCAGGGAAGTGCCCTATGGGGCACCCGACAACTTTGCTTTATATATTACGAGCCGACCCGCGGTGTATTATACGCCGCTATTTAGTTGTTTTTTTCTACTTTTCAGTAATTCATAATTTCTGAATTCGACAGTACCAATGCTGCCACTGAAAATATTTGCTTTAAAACACTACCCCCCCCCTGAAAGCAGCCTCCTCTTAGTTACCTCCTCTAAGTTTAAAATCGTTTCAAACTAAATTATCTGCCCCTAAAAGCCGTCACCAAACCCGGCTTGTAAACAGTTAGCGTGAACCACAGCTCACCAGACCATGTGAGGGGGGGTGGTGGTAGCGATAGAGAGGAAGAGAGAAGACTACAGCTTGTTTTCTAACGTCTCCCAGAAGAGAATTATATATATAGATAGAGATTAGCAAATTGCATAGATAAACAAAGATTTCAATAGAGTAATTAAGGCCTGAAATACTTTAGTATAGAAATGTATTATTTGAATAGATTCTAGATTTAGGTAGGGTCTACATCTATGTAAGTCTAGTTTTTCCGTAGATCTAGATCTCTAGATCTAGAATATCTAGATCTAGATGATCTAGAAAATCTAGATCTAGAATATCTAGATCTAGAATCCTAATAGAATTTTTTTTTTAAGTTTAGCCCGAGCAAAATTGTATTGTATAGATTTTATAGCGTACGTAGATCTAAATCAAATTTGAATGAAATAGTTCATTTCTTTTTATTCTAAACACGGCAGATGACGTCATTAGTTAATGTATAAACATTAGTGACGTCACTGTTTTATGCATTCTTTTTCACAACTATAAACCCTTTTCCTGTTGCATAATTAAAACTGTTTCTCTACATTCGAGTACGCCTTTATTTTTTATTTTTCTTCTTTAAATAAAATTGTGGTTATACATTTAAAACATGTAACATATTATTTTCAACAAATGTCCGTATAAAGGTGTCCATATATTGCTGCCGATTCTGACGAGATATCCGGCGAAAATATTTTGCGGACAGACAGAGAGAGAGAGAGAGAGAGAGAAAAGCGCACATGGGCTATTATATATTAGGATCATATGGTTTTGAAATATGATCCTTTATTATTGTTAAGGCAGACAGCTTTTGCTATTTTATTATAGGGAAAAAGTATCGTGCTGCGGAACACCAATTGTACTCCTCTTCCCTATGAACACCAATTGTACTCCTCTTTCCCTATGTAATATAATTCACTACAATTTATTATAATTGTATTAATATTGAAAGAGAACTCTTACAAGCAAGTAAAATGTCTAATTCCTGCAACTTCTTTTCATGTAACTTGCGTAAAATTTGTTGTCTTTTTAATTTCATTTGATGGTAAAGCTCTGATTGATACTGTGTCTGGAGGTAATCAGTCTCTTGCTTTTCTTTCTTCCCTCCTGAAACCAAAACAAAATAGATGAGAAATAAAATAGCTTCTTAAAATATTTTTGCGTTAACAGCCGTAATATAATTAAAAAAAACCTTAACTAACACAATTTTACCTGTAAGTTTTATGAAATTTGGAAAATGCATTGTTTGCTCTAGTTAATTTTTTTCTAGTAGAATAGCCTCTGTAAGTAGCTTGTATTAGAACAGCACACTCTTTTTGCTTCTACAATGAATGATTGGAAGACATTTAACAATAAGTAACAAAAATGCTCTAAATTATCCTTGACCTGTTTTACTTTTTTACACTGACATGTATATATATATATATATAAATATATATATATATATATATAATATATACTATATATATATAGATATATATATATATATATATATATATATATATATAATATAGTATATAAATATATATATATATATATATATATACTATATATAT